CTTTTTTAAACTCGATCATCGTCAAGCTCTCGAATTCAAAATTTAGGTGTTTCAAACAATGGTCAATTTTGGTCATTTAGTTATTTGTTTGTTTATTCCCCACCTGAAGATAGATATAAAGATAAATATCTTTTTTTTTTAAAAAAAAAAAAAGGTTCCCGAATTTGGAATTTCGTAATTAACTCAAATGTTACATCTGTACTCCTTTACTCAGGAGGAACTAAAAAAAGTATTGTTCAGTTACCTTTTTTTTTTCTCGTGATCTTATCGATTAAAGTTGAAAAATACCTAATCAAGTAAGTTACAAAAAAAGAAAAAAAGAAAAAGAAAATAAATGGAACACATGAAAATATGTAAAATATTTTTAGATTTTTTTTTTTGTTTAAATCTAAGATCCTCAATCATTATTAACAAATTTGGTGATAAAGGTTCAAGTAAGAACAATTAGTTGATAATCCTTTTTTAAAGTACCTTTTAATTCATGTAGATCTCAAATCATTCTTTGATTTATTAAATCATTCTAATGAAATAAATAATAAACATTTCAAAAAAAAAAAAAAATAATAATAATAATAATTCAGCCTAGCGTTTTCATAAAATCGAATTTATTTTACTTACCAATCACGATTTTATCAACATGTCAAGAGTTCCCCAATTACCTACCTTGGTAAATATATTCGTCTATTTGAATCCATTATAATATTCACCTCACTTACATATGAACCAATTCAAACAAAGAAACGAATTTACTTTTGTTTCATTCGATTCGTGGAGGAATTCATGATTGAATATAAGTTATGCGGTCTAATGTTCTTATTATTAAAATGTAATAAGGCATACTTGAATCAAGACAAAAGATTTAATAATGGGTTTAATGCTTATTTTGTTATTCCTTCAATAAGGGAATTCCAATTTTTCACAAAAAGAATTCCTGCCATCACAATACTTCACGTAACAGGAACAATTGATTATTTCTTTTGCCTAAATTTCCTTGTATTTATTTACCTGTTACGTTCATAGTCTCACTATTATTCGCTATGATCTTCCGCTACTCCTCATCCAAAGGAAAATAGTCGTATTCCTATTTTAATTAAATCGAGCTTTCTCACTCCTTCCGAATAAGTTTCCTTGAAAAGAATTGATCATCACACTCTCGGGATTTGGTTTCAACCCAATCTCCTTGGAAGGAAAATATCATCTTAAAAATTGTTCGTAGTGAAACTCTCCACTCACGTGAAATCGCAAAACAATAAAAATCATTTTTGATTTTGCTCCGGGAACTCCTAATGATTTCTCGAATTTTTTTTAGAAATATTGAGCCAGCGAAGGATCAATTATTTTTTTGTGAAATATTAAAAAAAAAAAAAAAAAAAAAGAATTAATAAAAAGAACTCCTCCACGGATCCTAAGTCATGAATTTTGGGTACAACACAGTATATATTTTAGCGCAAGTTAAAAAATGATTTGATTTTATTTCTATATCTGAAATGACCGTAATGTTGGAGAAATATCAAAGCTCACAAGATTATCATTAATTGTCAACATGACATAAGACATCACTATATAATGGTCTTTTATTGTCAAGTAAAGTAATTCTGAAGAATGAGGAAGTCCGATTTTGATTAAATAGGGCTATTATCGTTCTTCAATCGAGCCGACTCAGCAAGTCGTCATAATGTCATATTGTCTTCGTAGGTCATGAGATCATATAGGACCTTTGCAATGAAAGGCCGGGAAAAAATAAAAAAATGAGCCAATGATAAATCTGAACATATTTCGACCTGAAAATCATTATAGAATAAAAAGTAAAATTGATTTTTTCAGCAGATTTATGCTGTCTCTCATGTGAATTATTATTAGCATTAAAACTTTGGAAAGTTCAAGATTGAAACGATTTTGATGTTTTTTTGTGTGATACAATATGAAGGGATTATGTAAGAGCTAAAGGAATGATTTAAATTCTTCCTTTTGGTCCTACTTTCTTGATTCAAGCATACTCTATTACATTTTAAGAACAACATAAGTTAAGCCATTGAAATAATGAGTTAATAATGCACAAAATCGTTTACTTATTTGAAAACAGTTCTGAATGAATAATAATAATAGAGGCGAGTATTTTGGCGAAATGTTGGTGAAAATGAATACGAGAGTGGAAAATCTTGCAGCCAAAGCTAATCTTGCAAACGTCAAGTCAATATGTTACACTAAATTTTTGTTGCGGAATAAATATTATGACCTCTTTATTAATTCCGTATTTTTTTTTTTTTTTTTTTTGCCATCGTTCAAAACAATAGTTAATAATCAGAGAATTTTCCTTATATGACAAAGGTAATAATAAATGTAATATGTGTAATATAGGTTTCAATTTCTTGCGGAAGGATTCAAAATAAGCTAAGTTAAAAGTTCAAACTCGCATGTGCCTTTTTGAATTCGAAGACAAGAAAGATAGCAAAGCCCATAATTCTCACTTACGAATAGTTTTCTACAACTAAATTGCAAAATTTCTTAATTGATTAAAAGTTCTTTATTTGACCTGTGTGTATAAATTTATTCTTGCATTCATGTTTAGTGAGACGTTAAACTGCGAAATGCGTCATACTTTAGTGTTAAGACTGCAAGAGAGTCACAAAGACAGATTTATATTATGTACTTGTTTTTGTTGGTAAGAAAACAAATGATTGCTTTAATATGATTTAACATTTCTTCCTGAACTTAGTAGTCCAGCAAATTTTTACTAACTGTAGGAATGTTTTTTATCAGTTACCATTTTGTTTTTTTACTAAGGTATTCGATAAATTTGTATGTTTTTTTCAAAATAAGTATGACTAATAATCAGCATATTAAAATATGTGTCGTGTATTTTAAAGCTGAGCCATTAGTTGTTCTATGTTTTATTGCTTTTTCATATTCAATAAAAAATTATTATATCATAATGTTATATCACTTTGCAAATTTTTTTTTAAAAGAAATATATCAGAAAATAAAAACATTTCATAAGAAATTCAAATATAAAAGCAAAAGTATATAATTTATTTATTTAAAGGTCAGAATAATATATTAATGCATTAGAAAAAATTATTAAAAAAAGAAAATAGTATTCAAGAGAATGAATAATTTTTAATTTATTTTATCTCAGAGATTTCATTTTCATTATTAATTTGCCATTCAGAATTAAATAGTGAATTAAAAATATCAGATATGATTTTGTTTATTTTAAAATGATTAAACTAAAAGTAGCCTAACATAAATTAGTAGATTTTGAATTATTATGAATTATTATGTAATGAGAAATTTTAGATAGCCCTTATGAAATCCAAATTGCTAATATAAAATAAAATCATGTTTTATTAGAGCTTTTAGATTAGAATCATTAAATACATTGATAATTAAGCATAGATTTAACTAATACAAGATAATTTTCATTTGCTTTTATAATTTAGTATTAATATTCTTAATCTAAATAATAAAGATGATGTTGCAACTAGTTGCAACTTAATTTTTATTAATATTATAACTAGTTATTATTCTGTGATACTTATTTATTATCAGTTACAACTAGTTGTAGCATCATCTTTATTTACTAAATAATAACATTATTATATTTAATATATAAAATTTAAATTTAAATTTAAATTTATGTATAATGAGTCTGTTACTGCAGGTATAGTTATATTAAATATTTAACTAGATAGAAACTATATATAATGTACTTTTAAGCAGATTGTTATACCTTTAAATAAAATTAGAAACTTAAATAGATAATCTCACAGTTAGACGTAAACATGCCTTACTAAAGACATGCCTACAGCTTAACTTCTAGCTAATACATATTAATAGAAAAAAAATATCATATAATATATGAATATTACTAAAAATTCAAAATAAAGTTATGTGATTATTAAATATAAACTTCTGGCTAGGGATAAGGCAATCAAAAAGGTGATTTTAAGTCAGTTTAAAATAGATTATAAATTCAATATATTCTAAGATTTTCTGAATTATAAACTATTTTAATCAATTTTAAAAATTAAACTGAAACTGATTTCAAACTTGTTCTAAGAGTCAGCTCAAATAAGATTATTATCAAATTAAAGGTAATAATAGGATAAATTTGTTAAAAACTAATTAAATTTTTTTAAATTGATTATAATATGATGCTCTATTAATATAAATTTCACTTAATGCTTAAAGTTTAATTTATTTAAGAAGAGTTAAAGTAGAATTGAAGGGTATGCTACGAAATCTCGAAATCCAAAATCACGAAAAGCCAAAATCTCGAAACTCTAAATCCCGAAAGGTCCAAAATCTCAAATCTAAAAATCTCGAAATTCAAAATCCCGAATGGTCATGAGAAGTACTTTGAATTAATATGTCACGGGTGAGTCGCGGGAAATTACTTTGAATTAGCAATATATGTCGCGGGCGAGACTCAGGTTATCTGAAAATAATTCTGCTGAAAATTTTTGTATAAGCAAATCTCCCTCCGATTGAAAATTTTTTTTCATTTATTGTATAAGTAAATATTAAACCATTGATAAGATGAATTGCGATTTTAACGAAAAAATTTTTATGTGATATGCACATTAATAATTTTGGTAATGTCATGTCGTAGTATATGCCTTAATCAGAAAGCAAGCTTAGTTATACATGGAAAATTTTTTTAAGAAAAATTCGGGATTTTTTACCATTCGAGATTTTGGATTTCGAGATTTTGTACAATTCGGGATTTTGGATTTCGAGATTTTGACCTTTCGAGATTTTTGATTTCGAGATTTTGGACGGCACCCACCTATAACAGTGTTGGACAATTGGACAATTTGATGTATCCAAAACTTTAATTATTAAATAAAAAAAAAGTTGAATTAAAATGACGATATTATTTATATTTATTGATTATTATTATGATATTAAAACTAGAAAATATGATATAACTAATTAAATTCAGATGATGTAGATATAAATTCTGACTTTTCTAATTCTCTAATCAGATCGCGCAAATTTCATTTTGCATTAATATCAATAGCAGGATGAATATATGAACTTAATAAATTATTATTAGATTCATTATTATCTAATAATATATCACTAATAATCAAAGATTGTGTGTCTTCTTCATCATCTAATAATTCATACCATTCTTTTAATCTTTCATCCCAATCTTCCTCTGTAGTTATATAACCAGTTTATCAATTGTATCTTTAATTTGTTAATTATTGGATTCTATAATTGGTAATGTTGTATTAATTTGTGATTTTTTAGAATCACGTTTTCTTTTCTTTTCATTTTCAGTTTGATTAATATTAGCATGAAGTTGAGCTATAGCTATAACCTTTTATACTAAATAAATTAATAATAGTTAATAAATATAATTTTATATTTATAAAAATAAATATAATATGACCTTTAATCTATTTCTTCGAGAAGTATGCAAAAAACCTATTAATGAAAATAATCATTCTACTGAAGCTGAATTTATACAAATACTAAAATTTTTGTAACAACAAGTCCTAATTATTTACACATTATAAAACAATAATACCAATATGCTAAAATATCCTCACTAAATTGTTCAAATGTATCATCATTAAAAAAGCAGTTTCTTTATCTGATAAGATTCAAATTTAACAAGTAATTTTGTTAGCTTATTACTTATCTACACTTTATAATAAATCAATCCAAGTTCCTACATTAATTGATTCTAAATCAGATTTAAATTTTTTAAGTCAATATTTAGGATAAAGTACTAACAAAAATAATAATAATATTTGTTTTTAATTCTTCTAATAATTTCAAGATGTATTATTATACCTTTAACTAAAAATTGATTTGAATTTTATTCTCAAAATTTGATAAAATATTCAAATAATAAAGCAATATCAAATAGTCAACCTTTATCTGATTGCATTTTATCAAGTGCTTCACAATAAGGTTGCATTAATATTGCTAGCTGTGAAATTCATAATCAAAATAATTATCCATAATTATTTGATAAATATTAGTTAGAAAATATAATTCATTAATTGGTCTTTTTGAAGCTTTAATTTCAGGAGATTCTTATCATATAATTATATTATATTTTAAAAAAGTTATATTTTTATTTTTTTACTTACTCTTAATGTCTATTTAGTATGAATTAAGTTTTTAAAATATTCATAATAGGAATTCTATCTTGTATCTCTGAATTTGATTATTACAAAACATTTACTATAAAATTTTATTTGAATATCTCTTAATTTTCTAATAAATATAAATTTCAAAAATTTGTAAAATAAAGATATAATTTAACAGTATTGATAAATACTTTTGCTAAAATATTAGACTTTTTGAAAATTTTTCCAATAGCTAAATTGCATTGATGGGTAAAATATGATAAAAAATATATTTAATATATTTAAAATAAAGTTATTATTTATATAAAAATATAACAAAATTAAAATAATTAAATAAATTTTTATTTTTTATTTATTTTTTATTTTTTATTTTTTTATTTTAATATATCTTAAAAATTAATATTTAATAAATTTGTAATATTATTACATTATTATTTTTATTTCAAAAAAATTTTCTTTTATTTTATATAAATTTAATTCAAATAACTTATCATACTGAAATGTTACGGTCAGTTCTTTAAGATGCTTATGAGTGATAAGTGAAGCAATATTTATGGGTGGTAAGCAGAAGGTTTAATTTAATATTTAGATTTAGAAGAGTGTCAGTAAATTAACAGTTTATTTAATAACTATAACAATGGAGTACTGCCTCAGTCAG